TACTTAAGGGGGACTATACTAGGAGCTATCGTGACTAGTGCTGTTACTCTTCAGGTTCCTGTGGGAATAGAACCATAGGGCGACTTGTCCCCAGCAAACAGCCAGGGAGTTGAGGGAAACACGCTATATAAAGAAAATCTAACCCCAATATACTATAGTNNTTTCTTTTCCACTATCCCCATATTATCCCAATATGTACCCTATTATCATAGTTGGGAATGGTAAAGTTTAGGATTGTTGGAGTTTAGGAGTTTTAGGGTTGAGGGTTGGCTCTTTGTGTAGTTTGGCGTAGAAATTTTCACTGGGCTTCAGCTGCTTAGCTTAGGGTATAGAGCTTACAGCTCCTATAGGTTTGCCTGTATGGTACGAGCATGCTTGTAGATCATGTGCCGGACATTAGTCCAAAACCTTAGCTGTTCGTATGTCACTTCAATGCTTCAGAAATACAAACATATTTCCGAGCACTGGGTTCTCTATGGGTACCTTCATGTATGAGGCAATCTTTATAATAAGGCATCAAAAAGGGAACCGTCTAATTAGACCCCACCCAGAAAACAAGCAGCCATCCGATCGGGGCAAGGCATGAAGCCGGCATTCAGGCTCCCAAACTTGGGGTGCCACCCCCAAAAGGAAGACACATGTGTGTAAGGAGGGAAAACCAGGGGATGCTCCGGCTCCACGTCAGGATCTTGTTGGGCGCGTTTCTCTAAACATCCCATCTCCAAACCATAGACCCTTCCTGCTCCGCCTGCATGACGAACCTCTTCGCAAAATTCCTCCCTAGGAGACAGGCGCAGGCACGGTAGAGTACGTTGGCAACCGCCCGCGTCCATCTTCCACAGACCTTTTGGGCCAAAGTGGGGGGCTCGAGTTGCTTTCAAGGGTTTTGGGGTAACCAATAAGCTGGTTTCTTGGAGATTGGGCATGAGGGAATTCGAACGGGGCAAAGAATTTTGTGCTTTGGGATTTATTTGTGGATCCATGGGTTTTTTCAGTGATTTAGGGTTTGGGGGGCTGTGCCCGTCAGCAACGTTCAGAGGTAAGGTAGCCCTTCCATGAAGATGCAATCGCTAGGTGGACAGGGCATGGAGAGGCCATGTAGGGATGTCTGGGAGTTTCGTAGCGTTGCCTGTTTCGGGTGTAGGGTTGGGAGTGGTCGTTAGTGGCACTTAATTTTAGTTAGCATGTCATGGGTATATGGTAAATGATAGGCTTTCCTTTGACAGGAACTGCCTTAACCCTAAACCGGGTAGCTCAATAACAATGTAACAACAGCCCAGGAGCTACCAGTGTGAAGGTCTGCGAGGGGATTTTGTGGATCAGCAAGTCTGCCCCGAGGGGCATGCTCAAGGTTCCGGAAACCAAGGGGGGTTTAGGGTGTAGGGTTCGGGGCTTTAGAGTTGAGAAAAAAAAGGTTGAGGCTTGTTGGGTTCCAATTCGAGGGATTCTTTGGACAAGTTAGGGCTGGCCATGGCAGTCTACAGATATGCCCTCCAAAAACCCTCGATCAGGTACTATAGTCTAAACTCCTTAAAGGTGGTTCTCTCGGGGAGTATTGTAGGGGCTATTGATTAAGGGGGATACTTTGAGTTTAGACTATAGCTCATGTGTGCACATTGCTGTCTTCGCATTCTGAGAAACTCCCACCAGCTGTTCTTCATAGAAAATCACATAACATGTGCAGACATGGATGCTGCATTAAGCTACACAGACCTAAACCCGGAAGACCTGCAGGTTGTAGGATGCGGATGCAGAAGTGAGGGGCCTCAGGCCACCAAAGTCAAACGTCGTACCTCCACATTCCAACGGTTCATGGGGTTATACCAATAACCTGGTCAAACTACACAGCTGTGGGCAAGCGCAGTAACAGGTAAGTGTTGTAGCGCATAATCGAGCTCATGCAAAAAAAGGCGGAATGATCTACAGGGGCCCATGGACATCTTTCAAAATTCCGCAAACTAGCGACGCCCAACGCCCTCGCATGTCCGAAGGGTCCCCGAGATACCCGATGGGCCATCCCTGATTTGAGAATTTAGCACGTGGGGCTACATGTTTTAGGTCGGGGCAGGGCACCTCAAAAAGTGCCGAAGGACGAGGTCCCCCAAAAGCCTCGTTCCCTGTATGTGCACGAGCCAAGCGGGAGAGGAAAGAGCAAAGAACATCCCTGACAATGCTTCGTCATGTTTGAGTGGCAAGACCCACAACATTTTTGTGGAGGCCCAAGGCACATTCTTGTATCCTCTTACTGTATTGCAGTAAAATACCTCCCAGGACAAGCCCATTCGCTACCCCCCTGGCGTTGGGTGGTTGCACTGCGCGAGGCTCTGGCGCCCTAGCTGACAAATCAGGCTTCCTTGAAGGGTTAGTCGAATTCAGGCTAGTTATTCTAACTACAAGAAAACCATATATTGGTATCCGAAAGCTATACGGGCCATAGTCTAAACGCCTAGTATCCACCTTATGAATCCTACAAGTATCATAGTCCCCGATTATACAATCCCCTATATAACCCCAGAACACACAGGGAGTGTTCTGGAATCCGCTCACTCAGAGCATTGTAAGAAGCCTTGTGGCATGCTCAGAAATGCAAGCTGAGGACGTGTCAACTGATTATGTCTTCAGTTTACGGGTTTAGGGTTTGTGCGACATATTGAACTCCACATATGAGCTATATGTAGTCTAAACTCCGAGCATCCCCCGTAATAAGCCATATATAATTCCATATAGAACTCCCCTTTGGGGAGTTTAGACTACAGCTCATATAGAACAACATGTTGAGTCTTTTGGGATATGAGCTTGGCTTATCGCTCGGTGTAGTATAGGATCCCATGACATAAGTTCCCAAATCTGCCTCAAAGGATGATGCTGGGTTCAACGAGACCCGTTTGGTTCTGCCAGACTCCGAGTATGCCTCGGCCTCAGCTATCAGCTGGAGCGTACCGGATTTTTTCTTTATCAGTATCTAGGTATATCATAGGATTCCCAAGGGTTTTGGGTTTCGGGTTTAGGGTATAGGGATATCACATGGCTCCTTAATTGTTGGGGTCCTAAATCAGGGAGGATCAAATGCGGAATACAATGGTCAATGGAATGGAACCTGTGGTCTTATTGGGGGGTTGCACAGGGATCAGAGGGAGGGAGGGAGGGAGAGAGAGGGAACGTCTGACAAAGTGACAGATATGCTTGGATCACATGTCTCCTGGACTTCCAAGTGCTTGCCCCACCGAAACATGCCGCCAATCGTACAATCTTGGCGATATTCTTTCCTTACTACGGATCCTATTTGTGTCTCCATACAGCCTGCAGCCTCAACCCAACACACCCCAATGAAGCAAATTCTAAACCCAAAGCCCCAAATCGCCGACCTGCACCAAGGATGCAACGGTGGAGGCTTTGTGGCTGGGTTGCTTTTAAAGAACTTAAAGTAAGTCACCCTAATATGGGTAAATAAGGTTAGGGTTTAAGTCGCCATAGTATGGATAAAAAGTGTATATTCGGGTTTCCTTATTGTAGTAACTTAAATCAAATTCCTTAAGCGCAGCCCAGGTGGTCCAAAGAGCCGGCCTTTGCCTCCGCGATGGCCGATGGCGTCATGGGCCCTTGGGGATTCCTTTAGGGTTTAGGTAAGGCTCAGGGTTTGTGGTTTAGGGTTTGGGTTTAGGGATTCAGAATTAGATCCCCGATGTTATTGTGGGGAACTATAGATGATAATTTCCCCAAATAGGGGGACCCCAATATACACCCCAAAATACTATAGTCCTTATTATGGGGGCCCCCAAAAAGGGTACCCCTAATTTTGGGAAACCCCAAGATAGTAGTTATTATCATGGGCTTCTTCAGGGGATCTCATTCTTAGATCCTCCCTGGTCCCCGGGTTGCTGTCAAGAAGTTTATAGGGGCATCATGCAAGGAGTATATTCTGAGTATATGAGAATTGTGTAAGGAGTGCGTAGGGGCGCTAAAGGATCTAGACCTATGCTTGGAGTGAAAATCTCAAGTGAGTGGTCCCGGCTTGCTTTCTCCTGGCAGCCCAGGGTACATAACCCTAGTTCAGGTTAGAGTCCCCCTTAAGTAGATAGAATCTGGAGTAGATGGGGATCTTATTTAATATACCCAAAGCCATATTCTATCTACTTCAGGAAAGCTATAAGGGCATTGTGGCTTGAGGCTGTGGAGCTGGGGACTTGCGGGATGAAAGTTTCAGGCTCTTTGGGCTGAGAATCGAGGATATGGAGTTAGGGGCTCAGGTTTCATCAGGGTTTAGGGCTCAAGGTGTGGAGTGTGGAACTTGTTGGGCTAGGGGCTTTGGTGGAAAGTTTCATCACGGCGTCCAAAGCCCTTCTGCCAGGAGATATGCAGGTATTTCGAATCGGTTTGGATTTGTTGTTTATGGTTCATCTCGAACCGACGATGCGCCAGTGTTCGCTTGATGGAAGCCCTAAAATCAAGGAAGAAGCTCCCAGAGTATAGTGACCATGCTATTTTAGAACACAGGATACTAGACCATACTATACTCCACCAGAAAGTCCAATCTCAGGACTGCACTATCCCTGCTTCGTTCCCTTGCCATCGTTACGGCAGCAGACGTCTCTGTCACTCTGGAGCTCTGAAGATGTTGGGCTAGCAGCACCTTGCTTGAGATTCAAGGGGCCTAGATGAGAAAGGGCCAAGTGCAGATGTGCAGTTACAGCACAAGGATCTTCAGCAAACATGTTGCGAGATCTACGGGCGTTGCCCCGTTTTGGGTAGGATCTTGCTTGTCATGTTTTTTTTGGGGGCTGCCTCTTCGCCATTCCTTTGGCAATGAACTCGACCGTTAGGTAGCAGGCCCGCGTGGACAAGCGCTAGGTACCTGAATTGAAAGTTTTTTCTTTGTGGTTGCACGTCCAGTGGGGTGGAGGCTGGTAGGTCAGAGGCCGTAGGCCACCAGCAGGAGCTGGGGCAAAGTTGGAAGTGGCTTTTCGTTTGTTGCTATGCAAAACCCTACGAGAAGGATAGGTTTGTGTTTTCATAGTATCCCAACCTATGTCGCACAAAGCCCAAGTCATACCCAGGTACTATCCTACAGTCTCATACACCTACTGTTGAAGTGTGTCTACAAACTACATCTCCTTGCATACTCCTGGATGATTCGGCTCTCTGGTGACATTGTAGTTGCTACCAGTTTAGGGTTTAGTGTTTAGGGATACTTTACCTCAAGCAGACCTCTCAAAATCATACTGGGATTTGCGAGGCCCCTACACAACGTAATTCCTATAGGCCCATATATAAGCCATGTGCTTTTCCATGTGTTTCTCCATTGTTGGGGCAATTTTTTGAAGCCCCTCAAGACATTGGGGCCCATGGTTAGCTGGAAGTATGCACGGTCCACTAACTTTGTTGTACAGTTGTCGATGGCATGTACTACTTGTTGCTAGTAGCAAAGACCCTAAACCTTAAACCTTAAGCCCTAGTTTGTGATGATAGAATATGGCTTCGGGTACATTAGAATACGGTCCTCATATACGCCATATTCTATCTACTTAAGGGGTCTATAAACCTTAAAGACTTAAAGCCTAGTTTGTTATCCCAATGTAACCTCCTTGGACCAGCCAGTACCTTGGGTTGTCCATCCTATCCCTCCAAAAAGGGGTTCCTTGTCTTGGGATTCGATACGTCGCAGCAATTGCGCAAGGCCTTGTTACAAAGCTCCGTACCTTGTTAACTGACGCCTTTTCGGAAAGGACTCTCACAATTCATGCATGTGCGCACTCAATGGTATTGAACACGCTATCATCTAAAGCCGAAGCACCTGAAAATGAAAAAATGAGGGCCCAAATCCACTTCAGCTCAGACATTGGACCTCTGAACCCTAAATCCTAAGCCCTAAACCCTATAATTCTTAAATCCTAAAACCAGAGGCAGACTGGAATGGAGCTTCATGCCTCGGGCGTGTCCTGAATACGAACCAATGCCGCAAGAGATGACTTTCCATTTTGCGGCTGCTGTTAAGGGACATTCGGTGGATGGGGGAAATCTTGCACCACACAGGATCCCAAAATATCATGATTGAAGGGGTATAGGCTACATATTAGGTGTTGCAAGATTTCCTCCATCCGCAGTAGGTGAAGTTGTGTTATTTTGCCATGATATGCAAACTATTGTTCTTAGGGTAGATGTATATACACCTATATTATGGGAACTGACTGAAGTTCCTTGACAGCAACCCAGTAGCTGCAAGCGTCCTCATCTCATGGGAGTTTAAAAGCCATGGCCCGTACTGCAGGATGGGTCTTCAGATGAAGTGTTCATTGTAGGGGCTGGACTCGGCTGGACGACTCCCATTCTGGATTGAATGAATCAACAGGACAAAGAGACCACATGGGGACCTTCACAGAGTACCTGCAGTAAGACAGTAAGAAGATTGAAATCGGGCAAGATCTCAGAGGAAATGTTGAGGAGTTGGATTCACGGCAATTCCGGGATGCAATAGCGCTCGTGGCTATTGCAATGATGTTGATGAAGTCTCGCAGAAATTTAGATCCTGCAGCTGTTCCTGGAAAATCTTGCTGGGCACCTGCGTGCCTGACGTGCAATCTAGTATAGCGGGTGAACGTTCAGATCTCGCTTTTTGTCGTCTAGGGCTGCTTCCGCCTAGACGTAGGCTGTGAATTGGTCAGGAAAGCGAGCCAAGTTTCTTGTACCCCATGCCTCTAACGGGAACTACTGAGTTACTGTAGGTTGTCATGGCGCACAAAGCATTTCCACACAGCCAGCAATAAAGTTCCCCCCTGTTGCAAGGAATTTCGTGCGGATGAATGTGCCTTGGCAAGGCATAGCCATAAAGTCAGGAATCAAGGGAGCACTCAAGACTGCTTTGCTGGCGTGGTACAAAAAAGTCCCAGAGAAATCCGAGCTTTGCGGTTGCAGGGCTGCCGCTTAGCAGTGGTCGGATGAGTCCAGTGCAGAAAGCTAATTGAGTTTATAGTCTTTGGGGTTTCTGGGCGGGACAAAGAACCATAAAGCTATTATAGTCTTTGGGGGTTTTGGGCTTGGGATAAAGAACCATGAAGAAGCTCAAAGTTCTGACCACTTCGGCCGTAAAGCTGCAAAGGCCGCTGCGAGCTACAACCCTTGCAACCGTGAATTATTACGAGTCATGAAGCCAACAAGCTTTGCAGCTTTTCTCTGCAACAAAGGTACGAATATGCGTATATATAGGTCTTTCAGTATATATATATACATTTTCTTCTATTATGTCGCAGTATATCATATCATATATATGTATGTACATGTACATGCACCCCAGGTTCTCCCGGTTTCCATGTCAATTTGATTCTCCATGACGCTATCCCTAGCCCCTAGTATGCTACTGTATGTCTTGTGGCAGCCTTCGGATGGATATTGCCAGAACTTGACAAAGGCACTCGAAACACAGAGAGAGAGACAGAGAGAGAGAGAGAGATATATATGTATGTTCGTGTCTCCCCATATGCAAACATATACGCAGCCCCCTATATCCCTGAAGACCCTTACATATCCCTTTAACCCTATTTGCACCCATGCATTCTCAAGATTGGGTGCTGCCCCCACTCATTAACAGCTGGGTACTATTCACATTATATTGATAGCCCTTAATCTGACCCCTACCCTAAACCCCGTAAAGCCTATCCAATCCCAAGGTATAACCACAGCCTAACTGAGGCGACAAGCACCATCATCCGCTCCTTAGCTTGGCGCTCAGCCCTTACAAGCTCAGGTTCCGTACGGTCTGGGTTTAGGGTGTAGGATTTGGCCTTAGGGTTGAGGGTTAAGGAATTTAGGATTAGGGTTTAGGAATTTAGGATCAGGGTTGGAGGTTAAGAGTTTACGGGTTTTAGGATCAGGGTTTGAGGTTTAGGGTTTACGGTTTAGAGACTTAGATACAAGGTACTGATCTGGGCCTTCACTTGAACTTACTTGTTTACTGGCGCCTCACTGGGCCCATAACAGGTTCTGCTGTAGCGGTTTGTAGGATACTAGGAGTCAGGGCCCATACACGGAGCCCTGTGGGACTCCACACACGCTTTTACACGCGGCTACAGCTGCCCGCAACCTTTGCTCCTAAACCCAGTGGACAGGCTTGCACTCAAGGGGGTTTCTTGGTTTATCTAAGTTGCAAAATCGAAGTAGAGGAGACCTGAACCATAGGAAGCATCAAGTCTTGGCCTTCGCTATGAGGCAGGCCCCGCAGGCATGTTGATAGCTTGGCAGTCGCATTTAGACCATAGGCAGTCCGGCAATTTTCCAAGATATAGCGATGCAGATGTGCCGGCCTTTCATTCTGGACACAAGGCGGCCCCTGCACGTAAATGTTTTCCGAGACCCGTTTGGATGGTTGACTGTTGAGGATAGACCCGGTGCTCAGGGAGCGCACTTCTGGGAGGCCTTCAAAGTACCAATCGGTATAGTAGTTTCCAGCTTCTTTCCAAAGTAGTACATTACTTTCCATGTTATTTTCCGTTCCCTGCTACCCACCTTAAACTTTTAACCCTAAATGGTATGGTAGTCTCCCTAGAATATTCAACCCTGAAAGCTTAAAGCCTAAACAATACATGCCCGCAGTGCGACGGGCGTG